CTTATGCAATTATTTTATCATAATATGGTATAAATATTATTTATATTGTTGGAAAAGCAACACTATTAACTGAACTCCACTCAGAATCGTTTTTCGTTAGCAATGGTTAATCGTTACGTACTGATATGCATTAAATTTCCCTTTTACCTTTTGAAATTTTCAACTACAACAGTGGTCCACCCACGTGCGAAATAAATATTCCAGTCTTTATTCAATGGCAATATTGAATAGTTATCCTGTTTTAGAAGTTAGAATTTTGTACAACAATAAGATAAATTAAATACAATTAAATTATACAATACAATAAATATACATCAGGAGTCCCTGTGAAACCTGAACATATTTTGGTGCAACAATCGAATAAATCTATAGTTTTACTTAAAATATACACAAAAAAAAAAAAATTATTTAAGAGGCAAAAAAACTTCCACACAAATCCTAAGAAACTAAATCGAAATCATTTATATAAATCATACGAGTTGACAATAAATTACAAACAGAATACGTTTTAAACTTTGACATTTTAAAAAAATCAAAAAAAAATTAATAAACATGTTCATGTTTGACAATAAATATTGCTTGAAATGAATTTATATTAAAATTGTGTTAATAATTTCAAAATTCCCTAAAAATAATTGTATAATAATAATAATTTTACGTAGTATTTACTTTATTTGATTATTCAAATTATTGAAATACTTGGTACTTGCATTTAAATTTCCTTTGAAGCCGCTGGTTTTTTTATTTCACATGTCACCTTTGAAAATAACTGTAGTTTATAACCGAATAAATACTTAACTGAAAAAAAAATGGATAAGCATGACGAGGATAAAAACGAAATAGTTAATTTATTTAAACGCCACAAACTACGAATAAAATAATTTTGTGTGTTGGTACGGATTTTTCCAGTTATAATGTTAAATTTAAAAAAAATGGCTGATACTGCTAATCACTGTTTTAAAAGGGAATAGAAAAAGGAGGATATAATATAGAGTAGTTTAATTTACATCATTCTGCAACTATACACCATTACTAACGAAAAATGATCTTGTGCAGATTATTATTATTATTCGTATTTTGCCCTCGTAATACAGATGATACAGAAATCATTACAAATTGTCAGATTTTCCGATTTATTAAAAAAACTACAAGAAAAATAAAACATTTTCTCTCTTCCGAAAATGCTACACGAAAGTTCCAATTAAAGTTTTTAATATTGATTTCTGTTAGAAAAGTTGTTTACAGACACAAAAAATAAAAAAAACATATATCATATTAATACAATATATTTCACTATTCACTAATAAACTCAAAAAAATAAAACAAACGTAAGAATAAAAATCATATGTGTATCAAAGTATGTTTTGGGAGTAGAATTCCGGAATGGAAAGTAGCCAGAGTGTTTCCGTAAAATCTGTACACACGCAAAACTTATATCGAATGTAGATGTAGGTAATATAATTACAACTTAATAAATTGCTGTGAAATAGTATGAAAAGTTATAATAGTGAAATTGATACCTGCATACGATGACCTCGTCTTACACAAACGTACGATATAGCAGACGTTTAGCATGGGCAATTCTTAATTCATTATACATTTAGTTTTCATATTAGAACAATAGTTAATAATTAATTGTCACTTTTATTATAAAACTTAAAAGTAAGGACATTATCAAATTATGTGTTTACACATTAGTTTTTTTTTTGATTTTTAATTTTTGTCAGTAAAATCTAGTTATCTAGTTATCTAGTATTTAAATTACAATATTTCATATGATTGCTCATAATATCTCACTGAGAAATACTGAAAAAAAAAATCTATGTATAAAAATTAAATGCACAGATAATGTTTGTATTATGATGTATGATTGAACTTGTGTAAAATTGTCGCAGTTGAAAATAAATGTTGTATACTGTGCGTTTGAAAGATGCAAGATGCAAGTGAGAGACCACAACATGCGGGTAAATAATACTACATTCTTTTAAAAAAGTTTAATATTTATAAAAAAAAAAAAAGTTTTTATGACAGTGTTTTATCTCAAACTTTTAAATTTTACCTAGGATGACTAAAGTCCCGTATTATACGGGATTGTTCCGTATTTCAATTTTTTGTTTCGTTATTTCGACAAAAGTTATACGGGACGCTTTTTTCCCTGTATTTTTAAGTCTGTCTTGTATCATTCCCGTGTTTATCATCTTTCCATACATACATAATATATAAAATTACTCTACGTATCTTTCCTTCTAACTTTTCTCTTATAACAGTGGCATGTCTATTAGTAGTATCAACTTTTGAAATTTAGATTTAGATTTCGATAAAAACAGTAACAATCACCAATTTTTCACATACCATATCCATCACCATCGTTTGAAACAATTTATCGTTTCAATCAATACATAAAATAAATTAGTTTATATTATTCATCCTTTACAGTTTTTTTTTTTTTTATCATCAGGTGAAATGAAATTATATTTTTTTTACAATATACGATAATTTTGTGTTCGGATCGTTATCCGTAAACAGTGTGTTATATGTTATATTTTAGTATCTCTTGACTTCATAAAAAATAACGACTTTAATGTCCTCTTTACACTCCTTTGAGTGTATGTTAAAACAAAAAAAAACCCGTTGAATTAATGTAATGGGTAGGTATACTTTATTGAATTAATGACCAACATTTCAGTATCGATCATTAGTTTTACTATTTATGTACCTAAATCGACTCGTTATAATAAAAATGACCAACTATAATAATTTGAAATGTAAAAAAAAAAAAAAAAAAATGCGACCCAAATTTATCGAGTTGGAATACATATTTGTTACAAATTAATTATACATTCGCTATATTATGTTTCGTTGGTAATATTATAGCCTCCGAAATAAAACTTTATTATACTCGTATATTATGTACCTAGCCGTTCAAATGGATCTTGTTAGAGTAGAGAGAAAATAGTGTTATAATATAATGACATTATATATTACACGGTATGTAAGTTTGTGTAACAGTCGTAGTATATGTTTCATAACATATTATTACTATTACGAGTATTATTTGCATATATAAATATCAGAGAGTATTCTTAAATTCACTGTGGAGCTATTTTGCCTCTATTTGAATATTAAGTTAATAATATTTTGTTTCTATGATTTCTGTTTGTTTTATTTTTAAGTATTCTATACGCGTTTGACAGTATTATATTTAGTACCGTAGTTGTTGAAACTATTGAGATAAAATGATACTAATATTTGATTTTTTACATTTTTATTAAAGAAAACTGATTTTTTTTAAATATTATAATTTTTACTTAATACATCGAATGTGTGAACAGTTAAATTCGTATAGAACCAATTGTATACTATATAGTCGTGTTGATATTATTGATAATATAAAATGAAAAATATCTGCATCATATTCGTTGAATAAAAAAAACAAATAATAATAATAAAAATGAATTATTCAGTTTATTGACTATTCATATATTGTAATTTTTAAATAACAATTTATACTAAAACTTAATAACTTAAATAAATCAACTAACAAAAATTAAAAATCAAAACAAACGCTTTACTACCCGACATTATATGTGTAAATTATAAAGTTATAATTATCCGCTGGGGAACGCAATTTTGTATTAAAATTATTCCCCGGTACTGCAGGTATTTATGAACTACACAATTTTTAATGATTACATGAAGACAGGATTATAGAACATTATAATTTACTATAGTCAGTATTTAATTTAAACTAGACGGTTGAGTATATCCAAGTTGTAAATTCAAAAGTTATTTTACTGATAGTTTACTGGTAAATTACCTATGTTATATTAATTGAGTAATTATTTATTCAACTATTACATAATATAATTTAAATGTTCGTTCAATTATGTAGTATAAAATATGCGATGCACTATCTGAGAAATATAAAATTTCCATTTGTAGCGCTGTCGTTGGTAAACTATTCAAAACAGACCATTTCATCAGTCTAGCCATCTTTATGGTTTTACTTTAAGATATTTCGATGGTAATTTTACTTTTATTTAAATTATATATCAACTAAGGCAGTGCTTCCTAAATTGTTTTGACTCCTCTTTTTGACTAAGGATTTCTCAGGGCGTCCTTACAAATCATTGCAATCAAAAAATATATTCTGATCTGGGTAGTATTAGTAGGGGTGTTTATCCTATTGTATGAGTAAGGTAAACAAGGTAAATAAACAAACGTATCCATAATTCAACAATATTATTGTTATTATAGAGGCCTACGATAGCATAGTTCGAAATAAACTGTGGGTGGTTCTAGAATTTGGAATCCCCAAGAAACTTATCGATCTCATAAAAGCTTGCAACACGCATATGGTGTGCAAAGTGTAGTTTGGCAACAGTACATTTGACAGTTTTGAGGTTAGCACAGGACTCAAACAAGGTGATGCCCTGTCGCCAGTCCTTTTCAACCCAGCGCTTGAGAAGGTGATTAGGTCAATGCCAATACGTCAAGGCATGGAGGTTTTGTCCAATAGTACACCCCTGGCCTATGCAGACGATATAGTTAAAATAGGCAGTACGCGATAAAATGTAGCGATAAGCACCAATGATTTGATTAAAACAGCGAAGCCAGTGGGTCTAGAAGTAAATCAAGATAAAACCAAATAAAATGAATAAATAAAAAAACTAAATAAATAAACCAAATAAACTAAATATTTTTAGTCATGAATATGGGAACAAGAGATAACTCGGACCTAATAGTAGAAAACTATAACTTCCAACTAGTGGACAATTTCAAATATCTTGGGGCAAACATAAATCAATACAATAACATGCATAATGAAATTAAACTAAGGTTATCAGCCGCTAACAGGGGTATACTACGTCTTGGAAAAATTGTTCAAGTCAAAGCTCCTCTCTAGACGATCAAAAGAACGCCTGTATTCAAGTTTTCTATGGCCAGTCCTGAAATACGAGTGTGAAACATGGTCGACTACTAAAAGGGACGAGGAAAAAATGGCTTGTTTCGAAAGAAGAGTTCTTAGAAGGATTTATGGACCTATACTAGAAAATGAAGTTTACAGGAGAACTAATGTAGAGGTACAATAAATTTATCAAAAACCCGGTATCAACGCGTACCTCATGAATAAACGAAATAAGTGGGTAGGCCATGTACAGAGGTCAAATTGAATTTAAAAGAAAGCACTGGAAGGAAAAGTCAATGGAGAAAGATCTAAGAGCCGCCCTAGACAGCACTGGATAGACAGGGTTAGCGTAGATTTAAACATGTACGCCCGAGGTTTAACTATAGAAGACAGCATTGATAGAAATGGTTGGTTAAAAGTAGTAGAGGCAGCGAAAGTTCTGCAAGGACCGTAAAAGTTCAAGAAGAAGAAGATATTGTTGTTCTTAGATAAATAGAGCAAAACAATTTTAGGAATCTAAATATTTCATTCTAAAATAAGTATTACTGGGCATCCGTATCTTTCAAGGAACAATTATGAGCGTTTTACTAACCAAAAAAGTGTTTTTTGAGAAAAATAAAAAAGGATGCCGGCCTCACTGTTTCCACTGTTATTTGGGTTTTAAAGTTATTTATAGACCAGTAAATATTCAAAATGATGCCATGAAAAGACACTGTTGTACACCAGGACGTCGTAATACATACTTTACGAAGAACTAAGGAACTAAGGAATAAGAAAAAAAAGAGCTGATACTGTGGATACATTAAGTTTTTTAATTTATACGTGTAACCAACGATAAAAGTTTCGGAGTGAAGTTTGGTTATATATGTTTTGAAAGGCCATAATATTAACTATTTTCGTCAAAATTTGATATTAAAATTTTTTTAAAAAAAAAAATTCTACAAAAAGCTCAAATTTTTTTTTGTACTATTAAGAACGAAATTTAAGGAACCTCTAGTTAAATTTTCAAGCATTTCCTTTAAGTCTAATAATTTGATCAACAGAGTACCTACTAAATAAAAATTATGTAAAAATCTTGCAAAATTAAAATGTCTGTAAGGCTGTAAAGAAACTCATCCTTATAAATTTTCATTAAATACACAATGGTTATTTTGAGGAGAAATAATAGAAGCGATTGCCCCACCCATTGGAATTTTTTCTACATAATATATATGTATATAAATGTTTATTTGATTATTTGGTATTATTTTAAAGTTGTACAGCTTTAATAGTTACTTCCAGGATATTAAGGATCTTGAAAATAACTACTGTTTAAAATGTAATGCTTATTCTTTATTTATATCCTATAAAAAGCATTGCAACCGTAGAGCGTAGTTTTTAAATCTTAATGAGGTAAAATTTTTAGTTTTCTAATTGCTTTAATAATACATAATATATAAATATTATTTTAATTACTTTACTTGGTTGCTTTCATATTTTAATGATTTAGACTTCAGGCTTAAAACTTGGTTTAGATCAAAAATGTCTTAAGATAGACTTTGAGATTTGGTATTACTTCATATTCACCTATAAATTAATATTTCAGTAAAATAAATTACTGATCGCTTTGCACGTAGTGTAAAAAATGAGATTTTGATTTTGTTTTTAAATATTATTATATTTAGTTTTCAAAATTATATTTATATAAGAACTTGAATAACTGTAAATTAATAAATGGTTTCATGAATTTTAATTGTGTTTTTTTTTTTATATAATCTGGTTAAAAATAATTATAAAGACCCAAAGTTTTCTCAGAATACTTATATTAGCTTTTTCTAGACGTAGTAAAACTTTCAAAATATTCTAGAAATTTGAGTGTCTATGTTTAAGTTGTGTTAATGGTGCCAATGTCCGATATTGCAATTTGGAATTTGTGATATACACTTAAAGGGGCGGTGGTTATTTTAAATCTTCACTCCCTCCCACCCTTGAAGTTTGGTCAAAACTATCACTGTTTATACACAAGAAAATATTCATATTTTTAAATGAAATGCGATCAACGATATTTAATAGATACAAAATGCTTATTAGCATAATATGCGCGTGATTCGTAGTAGTCAACAACAAACGATACTAGTACAACGGAATAATGATTATTTAAATTATCGTTTTAATGTAATTTTACGTGCAGAAATGAAGTTTTACATTTAAAATAAACATAAAGATTGTTCATTGATAACGATGTATAGATACCTATACTACATTATGAGGATTTTAATCGTAAAATAAACGGTTTGCACGACGAACAAAGTCATAATTATTTTAGCATTCAAAAGAAGCGATTAAATTATTATCGCGACGTCCTATAAAATAAAAATCAAAGTAAAAAGGCAATTAGAAAATAATAGGCATCAGGTATTTTTTTGTTTTTTATTATTTTTTTTTTTTTAACTCAGTTAACTTATTTATCATAAATTGAAATGTTTTTATTTCTTATGTATATATTTTGTACTAATAATTTCTATCAGAAACGTTACGCGTTTATCGTTTATTATAGAATATAATTATATTTACATAAAATATACTTTATACCCGTGTGTTAAACGAAATGAATATTTATAGTGAGTTATTATGTCGTCTCTGTGGTATTCATACAAATATCTAATATAATTTTTTAAATAATAAAGTAAAAACAAAATTATTAAATGGTTAATACTCGTAAATAAGTATATAAATAAATAAATAAAATGCGTCACCTGGAGTATTATGACATTTATATTGTACGGTTTCGAATTAAGAATTCATCGTCAAGTAAAACCACAAAGTCAAAAAGTAAAAAGCGACTTAATATGAAATAATAAATGAAGGAGTACATAATCATTTTACATAGAAATAATTCATTTAAAAAGGAGAGATTATTTAAAATGAGTTATTAAATTAGACATAGATATGTTAAGAAATATAAATTGTTTGGTTATTATTTATTATATTTATTTCATTGTGTATATGTAAATCTACTAAAACTGAATTGATGTAAATGTTATTTTGGGTATTTAATATTTCTAAGTCTGTATTAATATCAAAACTTATGTTGTGAGTTTTTCTAAAAAATTTTTAGCGAAATTTGAATTAGGGGCATCCTTTTTAGTTTTATTTCAGAAATGTGTTCTTAATATCTTATTTAAAAATGTCTATTTGTCTTACCCATATAAAATTCATTGCAGTTACATTTAAGTTTTTACCTACAACACAACGTATAAGATACCTATAGACAATACACAATATAAGTATATGAACAGTGGTGTTTCGACTATAACATCTTATACCTTGCCCCTTAGGCGGGCCACACACTAGAGAAATGTGTAACATGAAACTTTTTGTATGCAATCGGTTTCAGAAACTAGTTTCACGTTGATCTGTATATTGAAGAAACTTAAATAATGAAACTATAGAATATTATCAACATAAATGAACAACATAATTATGTATAACATTAAAAATATATATTAAATATGTAAATAAGTATGTAAGTAAAGTGTATATAGGTATGTTAAGTATAATTTTGTTTTATTGATTAGTTAAACAAAAAATGTACCTACCTACTTACTTAGTTCAATACGTTGAAAATTACGAAAAAAATATTATAAGTAAAACTAGTACTAAAAATAATGTATCTTAATTGTATAATAATAAATAAGTTAATAAATTATAAATCGAATTATACGATAGAATATACTCCATAAAAACTAAAAACGTGCAAAAAAATAGATGGAAAGTGGGTAGTCCACGGATTAAAAGTGTATCATACACTTTTTTCATTCGTGTTACCATAGACATCCACAAAATACAGCGATTAAACTATATATCCACTATTATAACCCTAATATTATGAGGATATTATAGTACTGTGGCGCTGTTATTGTACTAAAAGATACAAAAATTCAGAGATGACGTTTTACATGTTTTCACTTTTGACTCACCCACCCAGTACAGCACATAGTTTTTTTGTTTTTATTTTTCATTCGTGTTACCAAGGTAGCCCATCATATTTCAAGCCAATAATAGACCGACAGACAGTCAGATAGACTTTTTTTTTAAGTTGTTATAGTTGTTATGGCGTTTTTATTTTTGTTTGTTCTTTATTTTTTTTGTTTTAAAGTTTTCTCATTTTATCCGTGTTACTATGGTAATACCTAAATCAACAAAAATAATTTAACTTTCGTACCAAATACCTATAAACCTTTCATCCTTTATTTTATTTCCTACTAGTTTTATTTATGTTACAAAAAGTAGCCTTAGTTTTTCTCAAAGGTCACATCTATCTCTATACGAAAATTCATCAAAATCCGTTCAGTAGTTTTTGAGTGAAAGAGCAACAAACATCCATCCGTCCATACATCCTCAAAAACTTTCAAATTTGTAATTTTAGTAGGATTTTGTTTTTTAAATATTAGTTAATTATACAGTTAAAAATATTCGTAGACTTAACATTTTTTAAAAAAATTTATATTTTCACCATATAATTTGGTGACTAAAATTAGAAAAAAAAGAATCATCGCTCATTTTATTTATATTTTATACTCTAATTCATAAAATAAACCAAAAAAAGCTAAAATATTCCAAATATGCTAAAAATGCTAAATATTTTAAAATATGCAATAGAAAGGTTTTCTTATATACTCCGAGTTGAATGAATTTTCCACATTTTTTTACTCTCATAAAACGGTATAGACTAAGTAAAAGTATGTTTTTGCATAAAAATCTGGACACTAGTCATGACATATGATTTTTTTAAAATTATTTGATAGTATACCCTATGGAAACATTATTGGGTATAGGTGTAGGTGATTATTATAATATTTGTTTGAGATTGAGTAGAACTTACAGATTTTCCATAAAATATACAAGTCTTGATGATTTATAAAACTCATTGGATAAACAAAAAAAATATAAAAAAATATATTGGTAATAAATATTTATTGATATCATGCCGTGTTTCTTTCACTTGTTGGTTTTCTAATACACGGCATAATTTAGAAGCTGTTTATGGATGATAATATACACTGGTATAATGAAGTTTTATTTATTTGCACGTCGCACCAGTATAAATTATAATATTCTCGTCCCGGTTTCAGATTATTGCCTTACCTTTATCATTATCATGTATTTTGGAAATTATGGAATCTGTTTGATTATTTGCCTATAGTCAACTAAATTAGTAAATCGGGATGTTTTAGTTTATTACTGTATATCACTTGCGTCATGTATATTCAGATCTATTTTAGATCTAGTTTGGAAAATTGAACCACATTAAACCGCGAACAAATTGTAATGTTATTTTCATCACTATCATTTATCCCGTAACGGTACGGGCATATCTTCAGTCGATAGATAATATTTCGAGGGAAAAACGTAAATATAAGAAAACGAATAAGAGGAAAATAATTCCTTTGAATTATTGAAAGTAGTATTGAA